AATATTATTTTATTATTTATTTTTAAAATTAAATTTATCAGGGTGACATTGGTTAAAAGGATCATATTGTTCCTATTCAATTTTTGAGCCTGTCAGCAATATTTTATTATTTATTTTTAAAATTAAATTTATCAGGGTGACATTGGTTAAAAGGATCATATTGTTCCTATTCAATTTTTGGTGAGCCTGTCAGGAACTTCAGAATCTTAACCCTATCATGCAGTCTAGTAGTGCCTTCTCACCTGGAGCCGTTGAAGCACCTGTCAGTCTAAGTCATCCGTAAAGCCGGTGTTCTCAAAGGAAGGCCGCTCCTGGGGCCAGGGTGGTGCTCTCCTCGGATTGGTGTTGACTAACCATCAACCTGCCTTGGGCCAGATGGTCTGTCTCCGTCCAGACTGCTCTAGCAACTCACATTTTCCATTTTGTCTCAGAGGTGTCCATGGAGACCATCAAAAGGCCTTTCTGAAATCGCATATATCCAATCAGGCGTCTGAACTGGGAAGTCCACCAATGCTACCCCTTCACCCTCCCAAAAAGACAGCAAATGGGATCTGTTTCCTGACTTCTTTGCAGCATTGGACTAATATTCACCCCTTTCTTTCTGAAACAGTGTGGTGGAACCCTGTTGGCCCCGGCAGGTGCAAATCCTGGGCCATCCCTGAAGGTTTGTGTCTCCTTACCCTCTCTGTGCTTCGGTTTCCTAGTCTATAAAACGGGAATAATAGTAGAACCTATCTCACTGTTTGTTTTCACAATGCAGTGAGTTAATACTAGCACACACGTGGCTCATAGTAAACAAACCAAATACCATAGTTATTTTAGGTGCTTACGAAGCAGTAATGATCTAGAATCTCTCAGGGATGACTGAACATGTCTGCAAACCAAGGAGTTTTGAAGTACTGAACCCAGGTGACTCATGGAGACGTCACCTGGTCCAGCTTCCCCCCAAGGGCTTGCCCTGGTCCCCACAGATGATGCTGTTGGCATTCATATAACCCTAACTCATAACCAAGGGCACACGCCCAACGTCTCGGTGACGGATGGGCCCTGCGTGCACGTCCTTTTAAATTACTCTTCGTGCCTCAGGAGACATTTCTCATCTCTCTAAACTTCTCATTTCCCCCCAGCAGGTGCGTCTCACTGCCCCCTTTGTTACTTTGGTTGCTGCATTTCTGGACTTCTGAATGTTTCACTCGACATTTCTGATTGTTGTTGATATCACAGTTACATGGCGTCAGTCAGGGGCTAATGCTGAGGGCCTGGCAGCCACGTGTCCTGGGATCCCAGACCAGGTCACAGGGACAGGGCAACCCGGGGACAAGATTGCAGAAGAAGGCATTCGTCGTTCCCAGTAGACTCTTTATTGCTTCTGCTAAATGGTGTTAAATCCGTGTCTGGTGGCTGCAGCTGCACTGTGTGTAGCTTCTATTTTAGGAGAGGAGCAAACACTTACACAATGTTTTCTGTATGTAATAAATGGTCATTGTGAAAAATTAGTAAGCTTTCTGTGAAAAATACAAAGGAGAAAATAAGAAACTCCCTCTATCTCCTATTTCCATCATTCAAACTTTTTCACTGTTACTGTTTTGGTACCAAAACACTTTGGTCTTTTTATTTTTAAAAAATCTTTTTTGTTGGAAGTATTACACATGTGCCCCTTCCCCCCCCATTGACCCCTTCCAGTCCGCCCCATGGTCTTTTTCTTTTTAACATAAAAACATGTTTTTGTTTATTCATGTACAAAAATACCATCATACTAGATACTGGATTTTTATCACTTAACAAGAAATGAACATTTTCAACATTTTCCAGGCTCCAACATCATTTTAAATGATTGCATAGGATTCCGTCCTGTGGCTAGTACCTTACTTCAACTGAAACTATTATTTGACGCATTTTCTCCAATTTTTCACTATTATAATATGCTCTGCCTTGAACACCTTACAGGTGTACTATATATATATATACATGTATGTATATATGTAAATATATATGTATATATATTTCAGAGAGGAAGGGAGAGGGAAAGAGACATAGAAACATCAATAATGAGAGAGAATCATTGATTGGCTGCCTCCGACATGCCCCCTACTGGGGATGGAGCCTGCAACCCAGGCATATGCCCTGACCTTGAATCGAACAGTGACCTTCTGGTTTATTGGTCGATGCTTAACCACTGAGCCATGCTGGCCGGGCCCTTTCAGGTGTATCTTGATCCACTGTCTTGACCACAGTGACATGTTGGTGCTGGTGTGTCAGTGGCCTGGCCTGGTGCAGGGCAGGCCGTGCTTTGCTGCCTTGTCCGGCACCTACGTGTGTGAGCATTCGCCGAGGGTGTGCAAGCAAGGAAGAGGACAGACACGGTTACTACGCAGATGTCTCATCACTTCCTTTACCGATGTTTTCCAAGTTAGTAATTTTCTTCTCAATATTGAACTATGATTTTCATTTCTTGGCTGATTTTCAAAACAAGATGACATATTCTCTCTGTTTTCTGTTATAGCTTTAATGAGAGGGACTTCAGACACCATACAGCTCATCCATTTCACCTGTGCAGGTTAGTGAGTTTTAGGATGTTCAGAGTTGTACCGCCATCACCACAATAGGTTAAAGAACATTCACCACTCCATAAAGCAACCCTGAGCCCTTTATCACTTCCAGCCCTCCCCAGTCTCTGCAACACGGACCGACTTCTGTCCGTCTGTCTCCTCTGGGCTTGCTGATTGACTTCAGAGTGGGGAGGAACAGGCTTCCTCTCCCCCATGGGCAATGCTCTCAGGGTCCCCACAGACCCCGCTCCTGACTCCTCACCCTTCGGAGGCGTGCTTCCTTTCGTTTGTCTCCCTGCCTGGTTCTTAGCTTTCTTGTTTGTTCTTTCTTCTTATTCATGGAGGAGTCACTTCCGGCTCTGTCACCCGCACTCTCTGCACGTGATGGCCAGCCATCCTCTCTCCTCCTCCGTGCGTCCTTCCCACGGATCACACCCCTTCCCCACCGCTTCCCCAGCCGCTTCTGAGAGCAGCACCTTCCTGCATCTCTCTCCTCTGGTTTCCTTTCTCTCGGGGGTTCGCGGCATTTTCTGTCTTCAGGTCACTTTGCAGTCCCTCAGATGTCCATCGGTCCCTCTCGTCTGAGTCGTTCTCGTCTGCCCTGCCATCCGCTTTGATGGATCAAACACCTCCCATCACAAAGGCGACCGCTCCGTCTGAGCTTTCTCTAACTTCCTCCCGAAAAGGCTCACTACTTTTCATCCTCTGCCCTGCGTTCCCTAGGCCCACATTTCTGTTATTCTGTTTCCTCGTCGTATTTTGAACTTCAAATAGGGAAGCAGTCACTCAAGTGCAGACCCTTTTATTTCGGTCGTCTTCCCGGCTGCCACACCCGCTCCTGGCAGAGCACAGCTCGCCCTGGGCCTTCGCCTGCCTCGTGCCGGTGGTTGCAGGAGAGGACGGTGCCCGCTCAGGAAACAGGTGTGCACCTGAGTCTGTGCACATTGTGAGTCCGTAAATCAGCTCAAATGGAGAGATTTTCAGGTGAGCTCTGATTAAAGGCACTCCGTGGTGGGTTCTCTCTCGGCTGTTGGCAAAGGAGGGGTGTCACAGTCGAATTTCGAATTTCGTACCCCGGGTGCGTGAGGCCCACCTTCCGCGCCCACATCCTTTCATCTTCCTGGCCAGCCCCCAGCGCGTGCGGCCTCGGCCAGTGAGCACTCAGAGTCCGTGCCCTCGTGGGCAATCTACATAGCACTTCTCAGTATTGCTTTGTTCTTGTGTCCTGATGCAATAAGCAGCAGGGGACTTCTCCTGCAGTGCCTCTTATCATTTAATTAACTCTTCAGTGGAACGTTCGCATCTTTTACTACCTCTACCAATTGTGTGGGTATGAATTTAATATTCGATTTTGCTTGTGTCATGCTTCTCAGGATCTCAAATCAGATGCAACATTTTAAATTAATCGAATTGCTTCATACTGAGCAAGGCTTTGGATGACTGGGCCTTGTTTTCCTTCTGAATTATTTGGCACCAATGACATTCTGAAGAGCGATATTTCTCTCGCCTTTGTGAATAGCATGGGACCTTCAGCTGTCGTGTTGGGGATGGATCACTTGCCTCTCTTCAGTTCAGTCACATGTGTTCACACTGACAAGTAGGCTCCCACCCAGTGCCTGGCGTGCTGGGCGCCCCCACCTAAAGGACGCGTCAAACCTGCTGCTCTCGAGAGGCTGGGAAGCGCATTGGAGGAGAAAACGCCCCACGCAGTTCGCTCCACCAGCATCCAAACCTGGGGGTGATTAAGCAGAAAACCCAAGATGGGGGAGGCTGAACAGCCTTACACAGATGGCGGACGGCTCATCCGTCTCGGCTCAGCCTTTAAGTGAGCTTTAAGTTCTTCCTCCCCAGACACGAGCCACCCCACCCCCCACCCCCACTTCAGTCTCCACAGAAAGTGGGCGGCTCAGCCCTAGCTGGTTTGGCTCAGTGGATAGAGCCTGTGGACTGAAGGGTCGTGAGTTGAATTCCAGTCAAGGGCACGCACCTTGGTTGCAGGCTTGATCCCTAGTCCCAGAGGCAACCAACCAATGTGTCTCTCTCACATTGATGTTTCTCTCTCTCTCTCTCCCTCCCTTCCACTCTCTCTAAAAAAAAAAAAAATTCAATGGAAGAATATCCTTGGGTGAAGATTAACAAAAAGAAAAAGAATGGGTGGTTCAGATCACAGAGGCAGGAGACAGTAGTGAGAAAAAGACAAAGACACAGAGAGAAGCGATCATCTCCTGCACACAACAAAGGCAGACATCCTCAGTATGTGATCCGTGCATGCCCACAGCCTGCAAATGCTGCTGTCAGTGCTCGCTCTCCTGCAGTCCGCCACAGTGCCCAGAGGCTCATGGTCCTTGCCTGCTACTCTCGCTCCCTCCTTCACACGACTGACTGTTACCTGGCCATGCCAGTCATATCTCACCTAGTGTCATTATTCTTGTACTTACCTTTTAAAAAACACGCTCCATCGCCCCAAATAAACAGCAAGACGATTACTTGTACAAATGGGTAGTATTTTAGGTGGAAATGCCCTTTTGTTAGAATTTTCCCTGGATAAATTTTCACCTTGCACCCTTCCTGACGATTCCCTTGCGC